TCTCTCTCTCTCTCTCTCTCTCTCTCTCTCTCTCTCTCTCTCTCTCTCTCTTTTGTGCAGCTCTTGACGTCGTTGACGACAACAAAACAGCAACAAATATTTCTGTTGCTGTTTCAGATAGATGCATTAATTTATCTGAAACGGCAACAGGAACACCTGTAGGCCGTTCGTTTTTTATTGTCGTCAACGAAAACGACCACAATGGGCCTCTTATTTTGATTACTGTGAAAAAAAAATTGTCGTGTGCAGCTCTTGACGTCGTTGACGACAACAAAACAGCAACAGGTATTTTTGTTGCTGTTTCAGATAGATGCATGACTTTATCTGAAACGGCAACAGGAACACCTGTAGGCCGTTTGTTTTTTGTTGTCGTCAACGAAAACGACCACAATGGCCTCTCATTTTGATTACTGTGAAGAAAAAAAATTCACAGGCTGATTGGACATGAAAAAAAAAACAAAAAGATGTGGTCCAATTGAAAGCTAGTAGTTTAACACAAAAAAAAGTTTAAAAAACATTATAAAAAAAAATTGCCCTTCGAAATTATTTTTTATTTTTATTTTTTCGGTGTCTATTTTCAGTCATATATTTTTCTTAATGCCTAAACGACATTGGACGTCGTTTTAAAAAATATAGGGGTATAGAGTTAAAAAAACTCTATATCCCTGTATTTTTTATTTTTTCTTTACGATTTTTTTTCAAAGGAAAAAAAAAATTCCTAACTCGGGACCGCAGCATCTTGGTCGCATCCGACCTCGGCGGTCGGGTACCCGACCGCGGGCCAAGATGGACCCCGCGGTCATGACCGCGGGGGATACATAGCTGGCCGCGTCCGCGGATTCGGCCGCGGATGGCCGCCGCCGAGGGGGATTGGGCTCTCCCTTGGTATACGCATAGGCATCGCTCTGTAGCATTGCCCTAGCTTCCTAACTTACGGATCTAGCTACGACTTCCCTCACTTTAGGAGTCATTTGCATGATTCCCTTACCCGTCACCTTTCTACCCTTTGTCGGCCCTCACACCCTAGTTAGGCAGCCTTGCATGCTTCATCTAGGTGCGCCCGCCGCCCACTACCCAGTATACCAACTTCCCTGTTCCCTTGCATGGTCGACCCTCCATAGCGGTCAGCCCTTAGTCGAGCATTACCCGCCCTGATGGTCTATCTGTTAGGGTCATTTGTTTTGTTCGCTCCCAGTTCCCTACCCTCATTGAGCCTGATGCCATGTGTTCCCCCTATCACTATGTGTGGATGCCCTTAGGAGTTATCGACCCCTAGGCTGCATTCGCCACCCTCATAGACCCTCCCACCCTTTGGTTTGCGACACACTCCTCCTGTGACATATGGTTGACTTGTTGTTGCTTTGTTGCTCTCAGACAGAGGCTACTGCCTCTGACATTTTTAGGATTTAATTGTTCTGCTTTTGCTGTTCTTAGGACTTATACAATAG